ATCTTAATATAAGATTTCATATCTTTTAACAACAATGTACCATGTTTTTCAAGAACTAAAGAACATTCATAATAGCCACATCTAATGATTTCAAATGAAATTTGACTTCTATCGCTGATCAGCCTCCTTCTTTAAATATCACCTTTTGTATCGGACCTGAGAAAAACATAACATTGACCTCTAGTACGTCTCATCCATTTCACTGTCCTAACGTACGTTCTGCTACATAAATCTTAAAGAAATTGTGATGAAAATGGCAAAGAGCAGCAGAGGGACCTTTTATTACATTATAGATTTTTGCTGTGTGACAAATGACCTGCTTCAGTGTTGAATGTAACTAATGGAAGCAGGACAGAAGTTTTCTTTTGCAGTCGTGAAATTAGTTAGATTTGTCTTGGGCGCAGGTTGCAGTATGTGTGATTGTGAGAGACCAGAGTGTGCAGATTGCTGCTGCTGCTGCCTCTGCTGCTGCTGCCTCTGCTGCCTCATCAGTCTGCCTGAGGTCAGTGTAAAATGAAGCTGTCCGTCACTTTAACAGTAAGTACTTATTGACTCACATGTTCACCTCTGCTCTGTTCAACCAAAAACCTTCTTATGTCCAGTTTAGCCTTTTTTTGGCAGCCAACAAACGCTGAAATGGAAGTTTTTATCCATCCATCCATTTTTCTTCCCCTTAATCCATTTCTGGGTCTGGGGTGGCAGTCAGATTACCAGCCTCTCACTGATCCTCCTGTAGGTGGTGAGTCCACAGGAGGATGGCTGCTCTATCAGTCACAACACAGCCTTGTTCTTTCAGCGGGGGCTTTAGGCAATGTGGAGTAATGTGTCTTGAAGTTTTTAAAGTGTCTATTATGCACAAAGGTTTAAGACTGTGATAACATTGCTGCCAAAGGGTTTTCTAATACTGTTGACTGTAGGGCTGGAATGAACTATTCTTTTGATTCCTTGTTGGCCTCCCTGAGGTTTCTCACTTTATTTCCAGTGATTTTTTATCTTTCTTTTTGTCATTGTCGATAAAGGAGGGTCCAGGATATTTAAGCACATTTATTAACATTTCTGAACAGTGGTCATCCCACTCCTATGGGTTATTATTGCATTTCCTGTGTTTGAACTATTTGACTCTCATATATATTGTTTAAGAATCAACAATTCTTCTGAGACGACGTTGTGATTTATGGTCATACTCATGAATTGAATAACCATTTAGTTTTAGGGTTATTCTTCTGATTAATTGTTCGAATCCCAACAGCCTGGTTTAAAGCTCCACTCTTGGTGTTTTGTTTACACAGACTACTCTTCATTGTCTTAGAATTCTGGGAAGAACACAGTTGAATTGACCACTGCCACTATCTGACCGCAACCATTAATCCATTTTTGAACGATAACTTTTGAACTGCAGTTATCAGGATCTAAGATTCCAAATTAATTAATTAATTTTCAAGTTTTTGTCCATGTTCTAATTTTCTCTTGTCATTTACACAATCATTTTTTCTCTTACACCGAGATGGTTCTGCCCTTGCCCCTTTAAATGAAATTAAGTTAATACGTTAATCCATGCTAGCGCTGTAAATAACAATTAGTCTTTCAATTAATCAATTAGTTGTTTTGATCCTAAAGCTCAGTGACTGAGATTTTCTTCTTTGACCATCTTTAAATTCATGGAAGGTTCAAAATAAGTACATTTGTTGTTTATTTTCAGGCCTAAATTTTAATGCTGTTTAGGGGGAAATGTATTTTTAACATGTGTAATTTTCTAAAACTTTGTATGTTGACATCAGTCTGCCCAGGGACTGCAGGTGGAAATTAGTGCTACAACCTGGTACAATGCATCTCTCCTTTCTGAGGTTAATGTATATTGTACACTGTCCCTGTTCAAATAAATAAATAAATGAAATGAAAATAAACATGCAAAAAAAATATTGATTAATCAAACAATAAAACAATAATCCAATAGAGTATTGTTTCTAAATGAACTGTTAAGTGCAGCCCCTCATAGTATACAGGTCACTTAATAATATAAAGCGTTATTTCTGTTTACAATAATATTATATATGTCCTTGTCGTTCTAAATTCCAGTGTCAACACACTCTTCCCAAGCCGTAGACATTATCCCTCCGCTCTGCACTGAGTACATGTCGGCTGCGTTGGCTCCTCCCCTTGTGTGTGCGTTTGTGTGTGTGTGCGGAGGCTGCTTTGTGATGCTTCTCTAACTCTCTCTCTCACACACACACACACACGCTCATGCACACACACACACACACACACACACAAGGACGCGCGCATGTGTCACAGAAATAGCTGATCCTCTCTCTGTGCGGAGAGGCAGAGACGCAGCAGTCAGGACGCGTGCATCTCGTTATAGCGGCGGGGTCTGCCTTTGTACCTCCACCAGGAGACCCCCGTTTCACCTGGAGTACCACAGGGAGCTCTCTTAGGACCCCAGCCCTTCCCAAACTTCCCCTCCTCACCATGGAGCACGGGGGAAGCACTCGACGGAAGGGTGAGTGCTGACCCCTTCTAGCATCCACGCAACTCAGATTTGGAACGGACTTTTCATGACGTCTGTTTAGAAAGACTTTTGCCTCTGAATCATTCATTTGTAGCGCAGTCTAGATGGTGTTTGTCATCGTGATTGAAATATAAGATCATACAGTTTTGACTTGAGCCCTCTATGGACTTGCCTCTGAGTATTTCACAGAACTTCTGTCTCCGTATGAGCTGGCACACTGTCTGAGGTCCTCTGCAACCTGCAGAGCTCAGAAAAATTCACTAGCATCATTTAAAACTCCTACTGTAAATGCACACTTCTGTAAGAACACATCATTTCATTGTCGTCAATTCATTAACTTATACTTTTGTTTTTCATAGTTTTACAAATGTTTACATTTCTCCAGTGTGCACTTTGTCTGATCTGAATTCGCCAAATATTGTATTTTTCTCTGTTTTGAATTAGCTGTTACTAGGTTTTCAGAAACAACTTAAATATTTATCTTATGAGTCTTAAATGCAAAATGTTATATTTTCAGACAAAAATGTTTTTTTCCAAAAAGACATGCACATTTTATGGATTGGGGTTAAAATCCCATTTAGATCTTAGAAGCTAAGCCAGCTAGGGCCGGGTTTGTACTGTGATGGGAGACCAGGTGCCGCATATGAGGCTGATGCCATGTTGTAGTAGTAGTTTATTTGTTCAGTCACTTTTTTCACAACTCAGACAATACAGATCATTTGAAATAAATAAATAAATAAAAACAATTGTCCTAGGGGAGACATTTCACTTCAGCCACATTTTCTTGGACGAGTCGGATGCATGTGAATGATTGCTGGGAAAAATTGCTTGAACTGTGCAATACGTGAAAACGGTGAAACGTCACTTCTACGTGGTCTGTAAATAAAATACACTTATTGGGAGAAACATAGCGGTGTAGATTTTTTTCACTGTTTTCACATTTTGCACTTTTTAAATCCAGCACGCTAGTCCAGCCTACAGCGATGTGCGCCTTATTTGAAACCTTCTTGAACTGTGCAATACAAATAAACTTGCCTGGTGGTCAGAGGGGCAATGGCACAGATTGGCTGCCTTGCTTCTGTCCGTCTACCTCGGGGCAGCTCTGCACAGTCTGAGTGACATGAATAATATCACGGGAGACATGGTTGGGTTTCCAAAAAAGTTCTGTTTCAAACTGATGCATTATTATCAGATTGATTATATTAATTGTTAGATTCTCTCTGGGCATTACATTTCTGGTCCTCTCTCCTCAAAATTAGAGTGGGGGACACGAATTATGCTCAACAATTGAATTTGTTAAATGTATAATTTTGTTATTGGGGTTCCACAAATAACTTCCCTTATAATACAGAGTCTGGTCTAAACATGAGGAGGTAGCGTTTGAGATTTATGCAGCTAAAAACTGCAACGGTCTTCTACTCTGACAATGTTCAATTGCAGGTTAAAAACTGTACAACAGAAGGATTTTGTTATTTAATGATGAATCAAAAATACGGTTCAAGGCCATGGTGTACTGTAACAAAAAGAACCCACACAAATAATTCAATTGCAGGATCAAAGCCTGTATTTCTTCACTTATTTTAATTCCCTATTTATGTAGATTATTTTAATGAGTTGTCTTGTGTATGAACTGTGCTATACAAATACACTTGCCTTGCCTTACCCAAATAACCACTGCTTTGCAAATTAAATGCTTCCATCTTCTGCCATAGTTTGTATATTTACCTTGTTACATGTTTTGACTGATTCTCAAAACTTTAACAATTATATGTATCATTGCAGTTTTTTCTATTCTGAATGATGGATACACAATTCTTGTCTTCGCTCTGGTTCTTTTACATATGGCCTTCAATGTCCAATGTGTTTTCTGATGGAGGTTGCAACCTGCTTGTCTAAATGGTTTGGTTTGTTAGGAAGCAACCGCATGCTGTAAAATGATCTTATGCTGTTATAGTTTCTTGTCCTCTGCATTTGACCCATTCTGCAAGTCCACAAGGGCCTCTGTTGGGAGCAGTGGTTGCCGTATCTCCCTGGGACCCATCCTCAGTTGTTGATGCTCTTGGTCAGGACCTTAGCTGGGCGAGTTTACTTATTGTACATGTTTTTAGTGGTAGATGAAACCGGAGCGCCTGGAGGCAACTTATGCATACACAAGGAGAACATGCAATTTCAGAAAGGCCCTGTTCAGATCGGAATTCAAACCTAGAAGCTTCTTGATGAGAAGCGAGAGTGCTATATTATTTGTATTGGTCAAGCAGCAGTCAATATGGAAAGCTCAAAAAATACATTTTGATCCCAGTTTCAAAAACCCAGAACTCATCATATGTTTTCTTTTTTCTTTTTGCCCAATGTGTAGATCTGTAGCCGCAGCATGACTTGCGGAGGCTCGTTCCTTGCTCTCTGACTTATCCCTCCCACTTTTGCTTTCTGCTGCTACAGGTTCTAACTGTGGTGGTGTAGGCAGCTTACGGCGCGTCACAGTACAGCTTAGGGCTTATAAATAGTCTGCATGCTCACTTCTTCTTCCCGTGGCCTGATGGCGATGGGCAGGTTAAGCCTCCTTCCTCTGTCCACGGTGGACACAGTGACGAAGGGCTAGACGTTCAGTGGCAAAGGGCCAGACGTTCAGTGGCAAAGGGCCAGACGTTCAGTGACAAAGGGCCAGACGTTCAGTGACAAAGGGCCAGACGTTCAGTGGCAAAGGGCCGGACGATCAGTGGCAAAGCGCCAAATGATCAGTGACAAAGGGCCGGACGATCAGTGACAAAGGGCCGGACGATCAGTGACAAAGGGCCGGACGATCAGTGACAAAGGGCCGGACGATCAGTGACAAAGGGCCGGACGATCAGTGGCAAAGGGCGAATTTTTGATAGATTTGCTATTTAAGCCAATCACAGTGAAAGGCGACAACACCTGAATGAGTCTGAAGACACGGCTTTGAATTCTATAGGAGGATCTTTGTTTAAACCTGTGTGCGCATGCGCCCTTCGCTGGGTGGCAAGACGGCAGAGAGGCACATACTGAAGCATGGATGCGACGACTACTTTTAAAAGACTCAGTGGGCGAATAGCACTTTATAAAGGCACTTTAACGCAAGAAGATCGGAGGAGATGTATAGAAAAGCTAAAAATAAGTATATTAGACCGAACTGAACAAATCCAAAGCCTAGATGAGACCTGGGATGACGAGAGAAAACATTGGTCAGACTCACCTCTGTCTTGGCACCGATCTGCTGGGACTGGGACTCAGAGACATTTATTCTTACTTCATAGAACCCCGGGACCCTTCACTCAAGAAGGGTCCGTGGTGAAAATGTTATCGCGTTTTTCACCGCGGTAAAGTGGCCCGGCTTTTCGCTGTTGCGGTAAAGCACATAAAAAGCGGGTTGCCCTCTTTTTGCTGTTACTTACTGTAAACGTGGAACAGGAAACCGCGGGACGAGCAACCAAAATGCAATTTTTAAAATGAATCATCACTCATGAGTGAATGATGAGTGAACAAGTGCGCAGTGACTGAAATTTGTTTATGAATTTTTATCCCCTTATCCACCCAGCTTCCCGTTCTACGTTTACTGTAGGTAACAGCAAAAAAGGGTAAACACTTTACAGCGTTCTTTTCCAAAAGAATTAGAAAAAGAACTTAATCTATTCCCAGCGGGCCGTACAACCGACCACACAACAAGAATGGACCATTTGATTTAATAAAACCTCTCTCCAAACGTCTAAAAATAGCTAACTCTCTAGCATCCAGGTAGCTTTGTATGCTGTATTGCCAAGATCCTCCTATTGCATTGTATCAGTGATGACTCCAAGAATAGATCAGAGAATCCAACACAATGAACAAATAATAACAAACACAAAGGAGCCATTGGTCCATAGGAAGCGGGATGACCACTATCCAGAAATGTTAATACATATCCAGATCATCACTGTCCCAAGGCACACCTGCATCTGTGAGGATTAACTAAGAACAAATACGCCGGGGGAAAAATGTAGAAACCTCAAGGAGAGAGTGAGAGATCCACTCCCATGGACAGGCAGGCTGTAGATCTAGGACTCGGGCTGAAATAGTTGATTTAATAGCGGTCAACTAATTTAGATAAACAGTTTAAAGAGTTAAAGTTAGACATAGACTTAAAGATGCAGAGAAGAGACTCTTATAAATGTAGCAAACATCCCATATTCACTAAGCTGTAGGATAAAAGAATCTATCAACATTGAAAGAATGCCAGGTACTGTAGCTTAAAACCCCATTTCCTCTTCAGCCTCTCCCTGTTCCTCACATTCTTGTCTGTCGATTTAAAATGCAGTTTGATAATAACAAGGCAAGTTAAAGGTTGATTGCAGTCCATACACAATCACAAAGAAGGCTGTTCTTTAACCTGGATTTGAACATTGTCAGATTGAACGCCAGTCTCACATTTTCAGGAAGACTGTCCCAGTTTCTAGCAGCATAAATCTGAAATGTTGCCTCCCCATCCTAAGTCCTGCTCCTCAGAGTCCCAGCAGGAGGCCAGTCCCTGTGCTCCTCAGAGTCCCAGCAGGAGGCCAGTCCCTGTGCTCCTCAGAGTCCCAGCAGGAGGCCAGTCCCTGTGCTCCTCAGGGTCCCAGCAGGAGGCCAGTCCCTGTGCTCCTCAGAGTCCCAGCAGGAGGCCAGTCCCTGTGCTCCTCAGAGGCAGAGTTGGTTCATATGGCACTAACATGTCGCAGATGTACAGAGCTGCTTTAAAGTATTTTCTCTGGACCACAGTCAGCCAGTGCAAAGACCAGGGAACTGGACTAATGTACTTCCTGGTTCAAGTCTGGACTTGAGCTGCAGTGTCTTTAAACAATCACGATTTACCAGCATTGAGTGCGAGATCTCTTGATGTTGGGCTGTTTGGCACAGGCCTACAGTGACACAACGGGCAACCTCTGGTGACAGCTGCAGGCACACTGGGGAATCCCACTCCTTATGTAAGCCAGATGTGATGTCACATTTCATGCACTACT